GAGGTCCTTTTGGCCCTTATATTCTTAGAACACATGCAACTGAACTGGGACCAAGAATAGTGGTCTTAACTTACATGTCCCTATGAGGTTCTTCCCTAGAGTCCCTCAAAAGGGTCTGGAGGGCTGGAAAGTGAACTCCTTACTTGGCATCAAGTGGATGAGTAACTCTGAGGAGCCCTTCAGACATCGCCAGTTCAGTGACTTGGCCTCAGCTGAGCTCCTGCATCCGCCTCTGCCCCTTCCCAGCCCTGGGCACATTGCCGCTGTCAGCTGGTCACTTGATAATTTGCAGTTGACAGAGCACTTTCCTCATCTACCCCCTTCTGATCTTTGCCAGGCGGGCACGGAGACTACATGCCTCTCTACAGCCACCCAGCAAGTAGTGGGAGGGCTGAGTCTCAAAACCAAGTCTCCCGAATTCCAGTGGGCTGGAGGAGACTTTCACCCCTGTTTTACAGTTGAGAAAGGGGTACAGGGAAAGCAAAACAACCATGTGCTCAGTAGGCCCAGGCTCTGGGATCAGTCACCTTGGCTTTGAATCCTGACTCTCCATTTACCAGCTTTTGTCCTGGAGAAACTTTCTGACCTACTCTGGGCCATGGTATTCTCATCTGTAAAGCAGGGATCATAGAATGCCTATTTCTTAGGGTTTTTGTGAGAAATAAATGAGTTAATATAGGTAAAGTGCATAGAGCAAGGCCTGGAATGTAGTAAGTGCTCAATAAAGGCTAGCTGCTATCATTGTTGTTACTGTCATCACACTGCCTCCCAGGACCGGGGCAAGGACGCATTGAAATGCTCTATCACTAGAAAGAGAAAGAGGTTTGCAAACTTTGAAGTAATAAATAAGGTTAAGTATTATTTAATGCATCCTGGACTGGCAATATTGAGCAAACTGTTCTAGGCTGTTGAGCTAAGGACCATTCATGCTGAAGCCCATGTATCAGGTAATTAAATAAAAGAAACACCTAGAGGATTCAGGGTACAAATAGACTCATGTCAGAGAAGCCTCCAGGTGAACTCTTTGGTGGCAGCTGTCTGACAGAAGTCACCCTGGGCAGTGGAGTTCACTGTTATTCTTGAAATCAGAAATCAATTAGATCACAGGGAGTTTGGCCACAGGGTTCTTGGGTTATCTTCTCCAAGCATGGGATTTTTGGAATGAAGTTTTAGAGGCTATTCTGGGAAGTTTGGCCTGTTGGAGGGCAGGAAGAATACTCTGTGGCTCAAGAAGAGTAGAAAATGACGTAAGGGGAGACAAAATTAAAAAAGAAAACTAGGCAAAGGATATGTGGGAATTGAGAACACCCAGCTGGGCTGCTGACCTTGAGTGAGTGGATGGATGCATGGTGATTGGAAGGAAGATCTAGCTGTAAATAGAAAGCCTCTCTTTTCCCCTGAACTACCCAACACAGCTGATAGATTCGTGTAAGGCAAGCAGACTCAGAAGCCAAAATAGAAAAAGGAGATGTAGCAGGAATCATTGAACGCAGACAGGATGGGATCCAGACTTGAAAAGCACCAGCAATATGGTGGTGAGGCAAAGAAACAAGGGTTGTCTGTGGATGTGGAGGGACATGTCGAGAAGGGGGAAGGTGGAGTCCTGGAGACAGGCACAGCACGTGTTCCAACCTTTTAGCCACACCTGTTTTATTTTCTTTATTTTTTCTTTCTTTGCATTCCACCCATTTTTGCTCATTTGTAATTTCCCTAAAACTCCTAGAACTCCCCCCCTTTTGCTGATTTCATTCTCTCTGTATGCCAGTTTCACCAAGATCATATCCAAATAACTCAAAGGACTCACTTATTTTAAGATCCAGGATACATGTGCAGGACCCGCAGGTTTGTCACATAGGTAAACGTGGGCCATGGTGGTTTGCTGCACCTATCGACCCATCACCTAGGTATTAAGCCCCACATGCATTAGCTGTTTATCCTGATGCTCTCTCTCCCACTGCCTCCCCTGACAGGCCCCGGTGTCCTTTTAAACAAGACATGAAGATCATCAAAATAGGCAACTGCTTTCTCTGCAAGTCTGCAGTCACCCCTTTTGGCCACTAGATGTCGAGAACGCATCAATATGGCACATTTTCTGGTCCATTTTGTTATTTGGAAAGGATCTTGGTGGAACTGGCATATAGATGGGGTGAAATCAGCCAGAAGGAGGGTTTTAGGAGTCTTAGGGAGATTGCAAATGAGAAAAAATGGATGGAAGGCATTGAAGCAATCTTTCCAACAAGACCCACGAGGAAGAGTTGACTGCATTTTAAATCTATGTATTTTTTTACAATTTGGGAGATTTTTAGGATGAAGGAAGAAGGGAGAAACATGGCATAAAAATATATATTCTTTACGTTAGTTAATTTTCTCCAGAGCTTGTAAGCATTTCCAAGTGAGTTTAAGAATCTTAAACCCTGAGCCAAAATTAGGGTTGATAATGATGATGGTGGTGGTGGTGGTAGCATCTGATAGATACCTCCATGGCTCTTACTATGCGGAAGGTATTGTTCTCAGCAATTTACAGAAATTGACTCATTTAGTACTCACAACAACCCTAGGAAGTGCTATTATTATCCCTGTTTTACAGCTGAGGAAGCAGAGGGCAGAGAGGTTGTATGACTTATCTAAGGTCACACAGCTGGTCAGTGAGAGCATCAGGATTCAGCCCAGACACTTGTCCATATTCTTACCTTCCATGATCTGTAATACATGTTGCCACATTGACTCCTGACCTATGGCAAAAGGAACTTTCTGAGCAATGAATCAATGCTGTGATTTAATAATAAAAATCACAGAGGCCAGGTGCGGTGGTCACACCTATAATCCCAGCACTTTGGGAGTCTGAGGCAGGTGGATCACCTGAGGTCAGGAGTTTGAGACCAGCCCGACCAACATGGTGAAACCTCCATCTCTACTAAAATACAAAAATTAGCTGGGTGTGGTGGTGTGTGCCTGTAATCTTAGCTACTTGGAAGGGTGAGGCAGGAGAACCACTCGAACCCAGGAAGCGGAGGTTGCAGTGAGCCAGGATCACGCCACTGCACTCCAGCTGGGCAACAAGAGTGAAGGTCTGTCTCAAAAAAAAAAAAAAAGAAGTCACAGAATTCCTCATTCTAATAAACTCACTTCACAGCACTTCAAATGAGAAGGAATAAGATTTTAGGGTTGGCCAGGAATTCATTCTGAGTTCCCCGACCTACAGGGCTTGGTTAGATAGGAGCACATTTCATTCCCACGAGGAAGCCTCTGCTCTGTTAGTTGTTGTAGTGATCCAAACAACAGAGGAGAATGAACAAGGCCCAGGAGCCATGGATTCCAGAAGGTTGTTTTTGTTCTTAGCTTAGAAAGATGTTCATAAACTTGGCATTGCAAAAGAAAAGTACATTTCTAGTTGGGGGCCAATAAAAATGCTGTTGGTATGAAGCGGCCCGGCCAGTGCTCAGGCTTCTAAAAGTATTTATGTCTGCTCAGAAAATGATAATGAATTTAAGAAATTTATTAAGGGCTGGATGCGGTGGTTCACATTTGTAATATCAGCACTTTGGGAGGCTGAGACAGGAGGATCACTTGAGCCCAGGAGTTTGAGACGAGCTTGGGCAGCATGGATGAACCCTGTCTCTATTTATTAACAAAATGATACAGACAATCTAGGATGCTCTGGGAGAAAAAGTGGTGGATTAAAAGTGAGAGAACAGATTTCCAGTATAGTTAAATATATATTTACCATATGACCCTCCATCCCATCCCTGGTATTTACCTAAGAAAAATGAAAATACATGTCCACACAGAGAAATGTACATAAGCATTCATAGCAGCTTTATTTAAAATAGCTAAAAACTATAAACAACTCAAGTAGCTATGGACATATGAATAAGTAAACAGATTGTGGCATAGCCATACAGTAGAATATTTAGCCATAAAAAAAGAAGTTCTGATATGTACGACATCATCAGTTAATCTCAGGAAAGTTATGCTGAGTAAAAAGAGGGCTGACCCAAAGGAGTTTATATTTTATGATTCCATGGAACTGGATTCTAGAACACACAAAACCAATCTCCAGTGACACAAGGCAAATGTGTGATTGGGGCTAGGATGCGGTCAGGGATTGGCTGCAAAGGGGCATGAGGGGTCTTTCTGGCACAGTGGGAGTTCTATATTTTGCTGGTGGTCCTGGCTACATGGATGCAAAGTCTGTTGGCTCTGCACTGATGCTTTGCGCCTCTGGGCCTCAGTTTCCTTGTTTGTCGAACTAGAAGGTTGTTAGATTAGATAATGTCTAGAATTTCTTCTGGCTCAGAAATTTTCCCTATAATAGCAGTATCCATTTTTATTATGGAAGTAGAGTAGCAAAGTGCAATTTGCTTTATAGGAATTGTTTTTATAGGCAAGGATGAATTTATTCCAGAGAACATAGAGTATCTATTGGGTTACTTAATATTACTCATTTTGGGTACAGAGCCATTTGCAGCCCATTGCACTTCAGGAAGCAGATGAGAAATGATTTGTGTATAAGGAGGATGTTCCCCATTCGAGTCCCATGGGGATGTGAGGAGGGGCCTTCCCAGCGGCACTGGGAGGAGAGGGAGGGAGGGATGGCAGAGTCACTGCTGGCAGGGCTAGAAAGGACAGCTGAGCAAGGTGCAGGCTTGCCTTGTCACCTCGGACAGTCCCCAGATGCCTGGAGTTGTGGTTACCCCTTTAAATTTCCTCCTTTTTATTTATTATTATTATTTTTTAATTTCCTCTTTACTGGCCCACACCTGGCTCTTAGTTAGGGCTTAGTGATGTTGCTGCTGGTGCTGCTGGCCATTACCATCATCATCATCATTATCCAGTCCTCAGTCTGTACAAAAGTAAAGGAAGGCAGATGCGCAGAGCGTACTGTGGGACCAGGGCAGCGGCTGACTAGAGTGTAGGACTTGGTATGGAGCCAGGAGCAACAGGGAGGGCAGTAATGGGCCATAACCGGATGCTGATTTCCCCTACTCGTGTGCCCCCAGGTCATGAAAACCTACCACATGTACCATGCGGAGAGCATCAGTGCAGAAAGCAAGCTGAAGGAGGCCGAGAAGCAGGAGGAGAAGCAGTTCAACAAGTCCGGAGACCTCAGCATGAACCTGCTCCGGCACGAGGACCGGCCCCAGCGCCGCAGCTCCGTGAAGAAGATTGAGAAGATGAAGGAAAAGGCGAGTGGGGCCCTGGGCTGGGAGAGATCGGGGACAGGGCACAAAGGGAAGGGCCATGCTCTTGGAGGAGAGCCTTGGCCGTCCCGTTTATTCCCCTGTATCCCAGTGGGGTGGTAGGGGTTGGGGGTATGGGACAATGTAGCCAGCATCTCCTTTTTTGGAGGTCCATGGAAGCAGGGCTGGCCATGCCCCTGCTAGCACTGGTTAGCCCTGGCTTAGTGCTAAGGTCAGCAGGCAGAAGAGGGGCTCAACTCACAAGAAAGCGGAACTGTGACAAAATCCATGCCCAGCAAGCGCCTTCTCTCATGGGCTGGAATCATCAGGCATTAGTGGGAACAGGAGCTTGTTCTGGAAGCCAATTTGATGGCCGAGTTAGGGGCTGGGGGTGAGGTGGGAACTGATTACTGAATGTGTCTCAACAAGAGGCACCAGCACCTGGAAATACGGTGAAGGGCTGATTCCAAAATTGCCATTGCCAACTCAAAGACGAGAGAGTTAGAATCCCTGTGTATTGATTCTGGAAAAGTCCTTTAGTAGGGCATGGTGGAAGGAATTCAACTTCGGAGTCAGTTGGGCTGGGTTATGAAAATGCCACATTTATAACACCTCTCTGAGCCCCAGTTTTCAAATCTGATAGGAGTGGCAAATTCGTCTCATCTCTCATGTCAACTCTGATCAATTGCCCAGAGTACTGGGTTGAGGATTGTGAAACCCTATCCAGGCTTAGTTAAAAACAGTACTATAGGGCTAGAGACAGTGGCTCATGCCTGTAATATCAGCACTTTGGGAGGCAGAGGCGGGAGGGTCGTTTGAGTCCAGGAGTTCGAGACCAGCCTGGGTAAAATGGCAAAACTCCATCTCTATTTATGAAAAAAAGGGGAGGGGGCAAAGAACTTGAATAGATGTTGCTCTTAAAAAAACATATACGAGCAGCCAATAAGTATGTGGGAAGATTGTCTGGGCGAAGCATGGAGGTTCACGCCTTTAATCCTAACACTTTGGGAGGCTGAGGTGGGCAGATCGTTTGAGCTCAGGAGTTTGAGACCAGGTTAGGCAACATGGCAGACCCATCTTTACAAAAATAAAAGCATTAGCCAGGCATGGTGGTATGTGCCTATAGTCCCAGCTACTTGGGAGGCTGAGCTAGGAGGATCACCTGAACCTGGGGAGGTTGAGGCTGCAGTGAACCATGATTGTATAACTGCACTCCTACCTGGGCAACAGAATGAGACCCTGTCTCAAAAAAAAAAAAAAATCGTCTGTATCATTAGTGATTAAGGAAATGCAAATCAAACTCAATAAAATATCACTTCACACCTGCTAGGATGGCTAGAATTAAAAAGGCAGACTATATGAAGTATTGGTGAGAATGTAAAGAAATTGGAATCTTCATACACTACTAGAGGGAATGTATAATGATTCTATCACTTTGGGAAATAATGCAAATGTTAAACATAGACTAAGTTACCATGTGACTCAAAAATTTTATTCCTAGGTATCCACCCAAGAAATAAAAACATATGTTTGTCAAAAACTTGTACATGAATAGCAGCATTATTCACAATAGCCAAATAAAATAAAATAACCAAGCAGGGAATGATAGGACTACAACATAGGAAGAAGCAGAATTGAGTGCTAACTGGGAGTCCAGAGGCTGATTGTTAGTTCAGAGTTGTATGTTTAGTTCGATTAGCTACTTGGCTCATAGGCAAACCACTTCTCTCCAGTTCTCACTTCCTCATCTATAAAACAGATGAGTTTAACGAAAAGTCCACAAAGGGCTAAAAATGATCTGAGGGTCATGGTCGTAGTGGGCCACTGGAAATAGGCCAAGAATATCAGAACTTTTTGTGGGGGTTGGGTGCATGGCTGGTGTAGAATGTAACTGGCAGGACCCTGGAGAAAAGTTACAGATCTCTGAAGAGAATTAAAATGTTGAGAACTCATTGTGGAATAGGAAGGTGTAAGAATGTCTAGATGAAGGAGGAAAACCATTTGTTTACAGAGACCTGACATTTTACCCAGCAGGGGTCTCTTCAGTCTGAAAGGGGCAGGGGACAGCGCTCCAGCCCGTTTACTCTTTCCTTCTCCATTCCCAGGCTGGCCCAGACAGGAGTAGCTCCCTGGGTGGCAGCTGGGTCCCAGCCAAGATGGGCTGCTCTGACTGCCCCCACCTCCTCTCCCCACCACGCCCATCCAGACAGCCATCCTCCTCCCTCCTGCCCTCCAGTCACTGAAAACCACCGAATACCTACATTGTGCAAGGACATTTCTGTGTGGTCCAGACCTAGCAATGAACAAGGCAGATCAAGTCCCTAACCCCACTTACTTTCTAGTGGCAGGTCACTGACAATCAACGAGTAAATAAAGGAGTTTAAAAAAATGCAATTTCAGGTGGTGGAAGTGCTTGTAAAGAAAAGAGCAGGGCAGGGGTGGGTAGAGGGAGGGGGAGAGGTAGGTGAGCTTGTCGTCAAAGGCCGATCTGGCCTTGAGACCTTGAGTCAGGACCTGAATGACGTGAAGGGGCAGGTCATGTTGGGATTTGGGAAGATGGCTGGCCGGGCTGAGGGAACCACGAGACTGAGGGCCTTGAGATAGGAATGAACTTGGCCTCTTAAAGGATGGACCAAGGAGGCTGAGCAAATGAGAGGGAGCATGGGGGAAGGTGGGGCTTGAGAAGTGCACAGGAGCCAGGGCACGGAGGGCTCCTCAGGCAGGAGCAGCAGTTTGGGAAGCCGCTGGAGGGTGCTGGGTAGTGGTCTTATTTATTTATTTATTTATTTATTGAGACAGAATCTCCCTCTGTCACCTAGACCTGGAGTACAGTGGTACAGTCTCGCTCACTGCAACTTCCATCCCCTGGGTTCAAGTCATTATCCCACCTCAGGCTCCTGAGTAGCTGAGACTACAGGTGTGTGCCACCACACCCAGCTAATTTTTGTATTTTTAGTAGAGATGGGGTTTCACCATGTTGACCAGGCTGGTCTTGAACTCCTGACCTAAGGTGATATGATATGCCTGCCTTGGCCTCTCAAAGTGTTAGGATTACAGGCATGAGCCACTGTGCCCGGCCAGGGGTCTTATTTACACCCCACCCTGGCAGGGACCATCAGAAGGCTGCTGCTTATCTAGTGTCCTCATTGGCTGCACAGGTGCAATCTAAGGGGATCTGCCTGAGTCCAGGTCCAACTCTTTCCCGTCTAGCAGATGGAGGTCTTCCATAGGTGTAGCTGTGCAGGGCTTGGATGGCAAGCAGCTACCATAAAGAAAAGAATTATCACTGAGCCAGTCATGGTGGCTCATGCCTGGAATCCTAACACTTTGGGAGGCTGATGTGAGAGGATGGCTTGAGGCCAGGAGTTCCAGACCAGCCTGGGCAACATAGTGAGACCCCACCATCTCTACAAGGCTTAAAAAAAAAAAAAAAAAAAAAAAAAAAAAACTGACCAGGTGTGATGGCATGCATCTATAGTCCCAGCCACTCAGGAGGCTGAGATAGGAGGTTTGCTTGAGTCCAGGAGATAGAGGGTGAAGTAAGCTATGATCACACCACTGTACTCCAGCCTGGGTGGCAGAGCAAGACCCTGACTCTAAAAAAATAAAAGAAAATCATAAGTCCTGTCCTCTTAGATGGCTTGCCCTTACATCTACTTTTTTCTTCTTCCAGAGGCAGGCCAAGTACTCTGAGAACAAGCTGAAATGCACAAAGGCCCGAAATGACTACTTGCTCAATCTGGCAGCCACCAACGCAGCTATAAGCAAATACTACATCCATGACGTCTCCGATCTGATCGATGTGAGCTCCCTAGGGAGTCTGGGACTGAACAGTGCCCATACCTGGGCTGGTGCATATCACTGGCTGAAGGAGGGGTTGATCTTTGTCTTTAGCTGACATTCTCGGATCGCCAGGAGTCTTTTGAGCCCTGCTGGAAGGGAAGGGCAGCGAATGTTTGGGAGCTGGAAAATGAGTGTTACCTCCTGGTGTCTATTTTCACTAGTGGGACATGGGCCTCTGGTGGCTCCTGTGCAGTTGGCTTGGGCAGTCGTATATCCAGTGCCAACTTCCCAAGTACCCTCCTGGACACCAGGTCCTTTGCTGGGTTTGAGGGGTTCAGGGGTGAACCATATACAGTTCATGCCTTGGTGAATTTCTCAGTGTGATAAAGGAGATGTTATTAGTAATATGTTTAGCGCCCCTAGGGCCGCTCAGCCAGACACACATACATGCGAAGGAAAATAGCAAATGAGACAGAATTAATTATGCGGATGAGCTTTGTGTAGGGAGGTTATCTTGGGAGAAATTGGGGAGCTTAAGCAAATGGAGAACAGAACACTGACTCCCCAAGTACCAGCTGTGCAGGACATGCGGCAGGGACAAGCAGACTAGGAGAAAGAACACTGTGAGTGGTGGTGCTGGCGAGGGCTTCTGTGTCATCTAAGTGGGAGCCAGGACTGGGCTTCTCTTGTGTCCCTCTTCCTGCACAGATGGGGGAGCTGACCCTGTTCATGCCTAGTAAGGGCTTGGTACTGGTTGATGAGCCCTTTTCCTGGTGTATCCTATCAGGAAGCCAGGGGGCTGCTGCTATTCCCATGGTTCCAGAGGGGGACCCATTGTCAGCATCACAAGGAAATGGAGCTCCCAAATGGCCCAAGGCCAGACTCTCCTCTTTACTACCTTTCAACTTTCCTTTTTGCTCTTTCAGCCCTTTTATTCATTCATTTACCATATCTTAATTTGAGCACCTGCTGTGGTCTAGAACTTGAGGTGCAGGAACCAGTGGGTCGGCCCTCGGGGAGCTTACCTTACCAAGGACATGTTGATAGGTGATTTTAATACTAAGTGGCAAGGGTCACAGTGAGGGAAGTGGAGGGAAACGTGGACACTTGGAGTAGGAACACCTGACCAACTCTGAGTGGGGAGAATATCAAGGAAGGCTTCCTGGAGGAAGTGACCTCTAAACTGAATTCTGAAAGAAGAGTATTCCAGGTGGAGGGGATGCATGCACACCACCTTAAAGAAGAGAAAGATGGTGAATGTAGGGAGCTTAGTTCTGCTATTGCCCAAATCTCCACTGCAACGCCCCCTGAGGGCCACGGTGCTGTTTGTGCGGTAGGATTCCAAAGTGCCTCGGGACCTCTGGGATAGAAGATTCGGCTGTAGAAAGGGAGGTAGTCATAACACTGTGGTTGCTGGTGACCACCCCTCCACGTCCCGGCTCTCACCCGCATCCTTCTGTTGTTGCCTCTCTCCAAGTGCTGTGATTTGGGCTTTCATGCCAGCCTGGCCCGCACCTTCCGGACCTACCTCTCAGCTGAATACAACCTGGAGACGTCTCGCCACGAGGGGTTGGATGTCATTGAGAATGCGGTGGACAACCTGGATTCCCGAAGCGACAAACACACAGTCATGGACATGTGCAACCAGGTCTTCTGCCCTCCACTCAAGTTCGAGTTCCAGCCCCACATGGGGGATGAGGTAGGCTTCCCCCAGGAGCCTGGGCTTGGGGCTGCCTCCCTCTCTTCTCCCATGTGCTCCAGAACATCAGCCCTGGTTGCACATACAGGAAGTTTCTATCCAAGGCCTGGGGTCAAGCTCTTGGTTCATGGGCTTCCCCAGCCAAGGAGTTTACCACTAATACTCCAATCTTGTGGTCTCAAGTCCCCCCTGTGCATAATTGCAGGACCTTGGCTTCCCTTAAAGCCCCTCCCAGTTATGTCTAGAATACTCTAAGGGAGCCCCAGTCTGCACCCAGGCTCATGTTCTTCCCTTAGATGCCCAGGTGAGGTGCACGGGAAGCCTGAGCCTCACCACAGCCATTCAGGCTGGCACATTCCACCAGGGTGTGGGCAGAGCTCCCTTCCTTCAACACTGCAAGCCTTTGATACACCAGACAATTGAGTTCCTTCAGTGCTTGTGCTGCTCAGATCCTTATTACATTCTGAAACACACACACACACACACACACACACACACACAGCCCCCCCCAAAAGAAAACAAGTGAAAAACAAATGGGAAGAAGACGACCCTGTCACTGGCCCTAACACAGCCCTGCTAGTTACCCGAGGCTTACAAAATTCCTTACGCAATAGTTCCTTGAGTTTGTCTGTGTCATTGCTCCCTTTGGGCATTGAGGGAACCCATTTGAACAGTGTCTCAGACCCAGCCAACCTTTGGGTCCCAGTGAGGCTCAGCTGGGCCGTCCGTGGTACTTGCTGGGATGGGAGGGGTGAGGAAGCTTGAACCCAGGAGGTGGAGGTTGCAGTGAGCCGATAAGGTTCCACTCCAGCCTGGGTGACAAAGTGAGACCCTGTCTCAAAAAAAAGAAAGCTCTCACCTAGTCAGTTGCTGGGGGATGAGGAGCTATGAGCTGTGAGAGTGCATTGTCTCACGGTTGCCCCAGGGCAGCATTGGTCTGCAGCACAGTGAGCACACCCCTGGTCATTTTTCACTTAGGTTTTTTTTTCTATTGGTTTCTCTTAGGTGGTTGCTTTCTTGCCACAACTTCTCTCCTTGAAATTAACCAATTAGTTTTGCTTAATAAGAGTATGTTAAGGTCCTTTGTAAGCCTTCAAGTGCTTCCCAAATGTAGATCATGACTGAAAGGCCACACCTGGCAATGGCAAGAGGGCAGACTTTGAGTAGGGAGACCCTGGTTCTCATCTGGCTTTGGTTGCCACAGCCACGTATGAGCTCTGAGACCATGGGCAGGGCACTCCACCTTTCCGAGCCTGTTTCCTGGATTGGGATGTTAATAGTAGCCCTGCCCTAGCTCCACACAGGTGAGGAGGGCACAGGGCAACCACAGATGGTGGCTGTTATTCCTGCAGGTATGCCAGGTCAGCGCTCAGCAGCCCGTCCAGACAGAACTGCTCATGCGGTATCACCAGCTGCAGTCCAGACTGGCCACCCTCAAGATAGAGAATGAGGAGGTGAGTGAGTACCTCTACCCTGTAAGGGACTTCCTTTGGAAGGCTTGGCTTGTCCCGGGGAGTCTACTTGTGCCATGGAATGCATAAGAAATGATGGCTCCATTTATAAGATGGAATAGTACACAATCATTAAAACCACACACACCAAGAATCACTAATAGCCTGGGGGAACACTTATAAGATGTTAAATTGAAGGAAAACAAAAGGCGGGAGACTGAGGCAAGAGAATTGCTTGAACCTGGGAGGCGGAGGTTGCAGTGAGCTGAGATCATGCCACGGCCCTCCAGCCTGGGTGATAGAGTGACGCTCCATCTCCAAAAACAAACAAACAAACAAAAACAAAAGGAAATAGGAGCCTATGTTCTGTATTGCCATAACTGGAGTAAACTAAAGCATGCGTATATTCCTAGGCATACAAAAAAGACTGTAGGGAAGTGCTTGAATGCTATTAGTTATTAGGTTTGGGTTGTGGGGTGATAGGTGCTTTCTGTTTACTTCTTTGAGCTTTCTTTTGTTTTCTGCAATGAATTTCTATTTTATCATTAGAAAATACACTAGCTATTTTAAATTACACAATGAAATAAACAACCAGGGAACACTAAATGTGTCATGGATTCTGAGCTCCAAGGAACAGGTCAGTCTTAACAGGCCCAGCCTCCCTCCCCTGTAGCTGGGGGGCATAGGATTCTCAGCAGGTGGGTGCAGATGGAAATACCAGTGCAGTGGCTCTGTTCTGATGTGGACTGAAGAGGCCACATGGGAAACATCGTATTCCAACCTCCTCCTCCAAGGAGGATGTCAACTAACTGGAGGCCCCTGGAGAAAGGACACCAGGATGTGGGGAGTGACACTCAAGGTCATGGGCAGGTTTATTATTGAAAGGGCAGTCATAGTGGGAGGTGGGAAGATGCAGTCCTGGTCTTCAAATCTCAAGAGTGCTATCCTGGGCAGAGAGGGCAGCTTTGCTTTTCATATCCACAAAGGACAGACCTAGGACAAATGTGAGACAGATTGGAGCTCAGGATGATAGCAAATCAGTGCAGTCCCTGGGGGGAGGTTGTATGGAGACAAATTATATATTTGTTTTTCAAACCTGGCAAGAGACAGGAGATGAACAGTGTGTTTTCTTTATTTATTTAAGCCCTACATCTTCCCCCAAAGGATTTGAAATTGTTTACATGGAATAGTATATGGATCATAACATTAATGGAATTTAACTTGGAAATCAGGTCCAAAGAAAGGAGAATGAAGCCACTGTTCCTCTGTATGAGCTTCTAACAGGCTTGAGTATGCTTAATTTTGAACCCAAGCTTCCTGTCTTGCTGCGTTAGAAAGAATTGATTCGTGTATTCATTCAACAGTATTAATTCAAGTGACATTTATTCAAATATTTATAGAGCACATACTGTGTGCCAAACATTATAGAGAATAAAGTGAGTGAACATAACACAACGTAGCACCTTCTCTCCAGGAGGGAATATTCTCATGAAAAAAGACAGATGATAATTAAAACTGTCAACAGAGAGAGTCAAACTCCATAAAATACTTGAGGAGATTTATTCTGAGCCAAATATGAGTGACCAAGGGCCTGTGACACAGCCCTCAGGAGATCCTGAGAACGTATACCCAAGGTGATTGGGCCACAACTTGGTTTTGTACATTTTAGGGAAATGTAAGGCATCGATCAATACATGTAAGCAGGGGCTTTCAGGTCTTAGGCAGATTCAAAGATTTTCTGATTGGTGATTGGTTGAAAGAGTTAAGTTATTGTCTAAAGAACGGAATGTCTGGGTTGAGATAAAGGGTTGGGCAGACCAACGTTTTATCATACAGATGAAACCTCCGGGTAATATGCTTTAGACAATAGACTGTAAATGTTTCTGTCAGACTTAGAGTCTGTTCTAACAGTAATGTCAAAAAGGAGGAGGGTATAATGAGGCAGGTTTGCCTGCCCCTTCCCTTCATGCCCTGAACTAATTTTTCAGATTAACTTTGGAATGCACCTGACCAAGAGTAGAGGTCCATTCAGATGGATGAGGGCTTAGAATTTTATTTTTCATTTACAAAACACAAAAACAAGCCGATAAATGAATGAGCTTGGAAAATATTAGACAGTGATAGGCACTGAGTGAAGATATCGGGGGGACTGATGTCACCAGAAGGTGACATTTAAGCTCAGGTCTGAGTGACAAGAAACAGACCGTGAGTGACAACAATTTTATACAAACATTGAGGCAGTTTTTCCAGGGACTGTTTTTGGAACTAGCCTCCAAAGCAAAGAATCTGCCCTTTAGGCACAGTTGCACAAAGGGGTGTTGGGACGTCAGGGTCCATGGGCCCTGTTTGTGCAGGCTTCTGGTGATTCCTCAAAATTCCAGGAGAAAAACTGGAGTCCTAACTGAATAATGTGTGCCTCAGCAACTGTCTTCCTGGAATTTTCTTTTCTCAGCCCGGCTTTTGATAGGAGTCCAGCAGCAGATAGCTGGAGAGTTTGTTCATGATGGATGTCTGCCCACCATTGTCAACTTTGTCTCTATCCTTCTCTGAATGAAGAGAACTAGAGCATGTCTGTTGTTCCTACTCACCTGACCACCTTGCATTGGAGGAGCTAGTTTGCAGTTACATAATTAGGCCAAGAGAAATAAACCTAGAAACCTGGGTTCCTCATTTGTCACAACATTCCTCAAGATTCTCTTTGACAGAAGCCATACAATAAAATGTCTTTAAATTGGGAAACCTGGCTTCTGATCCCAGCCAGCTGTGTGATTTTGGGCTGGTGACTAATTTGTGTTTTCCACATTAATACAGTGAGAAGGATTATTTTGGTTCTGCCTATATCCTAGGGACTTTATATGGAAGAAGTAAAGTGGCAATTGAAAAAGGGACTTCAGATGTCAACAACAGTGTGAGAATACGGGATTTTTGTCAATCTGCTGTGTTTCCCCAGGTTAGGAAAACCCTGGATGCCACCATGCAGACCTTGCAGGATATGCTGACAGTGGAGGACTTTGATGTCTCTGATGCCTTCCAACATAGTCGATCAACGGAGTCTGTCAAGTCCGCTGCCTCTGAGACCTACATGAGCAAGATCAACATTGCCAAGAGGAGAGCCAACCAGCAGGAAACAGAAATGTTTTATTTTACAGTAAGTATCTTCCTAGACCCAGAACCACACTGTCTGCTGACCCACTGGCAGTGACTTTTCAGGAGCAACCCAAGCGACTGACAGCCAGAGAAACTATATGGGTCAATTGGACCTAAAACTTTACCACCATGCTTTTAAAATTAAGTTGCCTGGCTTGGTTTTCTGAAATGCAGAAAGTGAATTCCCAATGGGTAGCATCGGCATTGATCTTGGGTGATGATTATTGAAATTTTTTTGCTCTAGAAAAAAAATGGAGACAATTTTATTCTGTGAGGTGATAAGAAAATGGCTAACAGCTTCAGGAACAAGTCCCAAGTAATAACCCTAAAATTATATATATAGATTATCATGTTGAATTGTCTTAAATTTAGTTGTGGGCTTTGGAAAAAATGTCCTCAAACATATATGTCTCTGAAAACTGTCAAAGGCTCTGCTGGATACAAAGGGGAGTGACTTTTTTTTTTTTTTTTGAAACAGAGTCTCACTCTGTCACCCAGGCTGGAGTGCAGTGGCGCGATCTCGGCTCACTGCAACCTCCGCCTCCTGGGTTCAAGTGGTTCTCCTGCCTCAGCCTCCCGAGTAGGTGGGATTACAGGCATGCACCACCATGCCTGGCTAAGGTTTTTTTTTCTGTATTTTTCGTAGAGATGGGGCTTTACTGTGTTGGCCAGGGTGGTCTCGATCTTCTCACCTTCTGATCCACCCTCCTCGGCCTCCCAAAGTGCTGGGATTATAGGTATGAGTCACTGTACCCGGCCCAGGGAAGTGACTCTTAATGGCCAACAGGCCAGGTCATCGAAGCCAAGGACCATGGAAAAGGAGGGGGGAAACCACAACCTCCCACCAGCCCAGTCATTCCAGAAACCCATCAGGGTGGGCCAGTGTGAGATGACCCCAGTCTTATTTGTATATATGTCAGCCCCAACTCCAATGGCTCTTTCCCCACAGCTGTCAATGGGAAGGTGGTGACGTTAGAGACCCTCCTCTACACTTTACTTGGGGGTAACTGAGCCTCTGCAACTCACTTTTCTCTGCCCCTTTTTTAGAGTGTTGGCTGGGGCAATAGAGTGGATTTCTCTTTGAGAAACTAGCAGATAAATTTGGGGCAGTCACATCTACCTCCTTGACTTTATCCTCAGCTTTTGTAACTGCCGTGTCCCTTGCTTGCAAGCTCCTTCCCGCAGGTCCCCACATGGCCCCCTTTCCACCTTCTTCAGGCTTTGGCTCAAATGCCCACTTTGCAGGGAGGTCTTCCTGGACTTACAGTCCACCGTTCCCACTTTATTTTATTTATTTACTTTTTTGGGAGATAGGGTCTCACTTTATTGCTCAGGATGGAGTGCAATGGCATAAACATAGCTCACTGCAGCCTCGGCCTCCTGGGCTCAAGTGATTCTCTCACCTCAGCCTCCTGAGTAGCTGGCACTACAGTACACATCCCCATGCCTAGCTAGTTTTTTAAACTTAACTTTTTTAGAGACTTGGTCTTGCTAAGTTGCCTAGGCTGGTCTTGAACTTCTGGCCTCCAGCAATCCTCTCACCTCAGGCTCCTGAGTAGCTGGAATTACAGGTGTGAGTCAACATACTCAGCTCTGCTTTCTTTTTATCCATAGCATTCACCACCACCTGACCAAGTGGTATCTTACTTACCATTTTTGTTCATTTATTGTTTCCTTCTCCACCCAACCACATAAGCTTCAAGAGGGCAGGAATACATTGAAATTTTTCAGCACCTACTCTAAGCCAGTCACAGCTTTAGGCACTGGGGAGCCGGAGATGAGCTGGGTGTGGAGTCCACCCTCTAGCAGCTGGCCATGCAGCAGAGGCATGCCTAGCGGGGCTCTGGGACTGTGTGGGTGGGGGAAGCTGGTACCTGTATAAAAGTGGCTGAGGCCCAGGCTGAGTTCCGAGCAGGTAGATGTGTTTCTGTCTGGCCTGTTCTCTGTCCCTCAGTGCTGCTCTAAGGTGCACTGCATTGGCCAGGGCCCTAAACTAGGAAACAGGCTGGGGCTAGGGCCTAGCCCATGGCTGACTTTCCATGGGATCTTGGACAAATCACTTCCTGGTGCAAACTTCATTTTTCTCATCTGTCCAAAGAAGAAAATCCTATTGCCCACTGCAATTTGGGTTATTTTAATGGGAAAGCCGCTCAGGGGACTGCAGACCCTTTCTCCTTCAGAACCGGCCAGATGAAAGGAAGAGTTGTTCCAAGCCTTCTCTCTGATAGATCCGATAAAGCTCTCTGGCCTCGGCTGCGTGGCCCCTGCGACGGCTCCCATTTTTGTACTCTTGGCACAGAAGCACAGTGGAGCTTTGATGACTTCAGAGGCCCTTTGCTTTGTCTCCACACAGACCTTACCTGACAAAGGCAGCTTTCAGTGCTCCCATTCTCCCCAGAACTGCTTTGTATTCCTAACCCCTTACCTGAAAGACCAGAAGCCTTGCAAGGACCTGTCCTCCACATGGCGGCGCTGGGGATCTAGATGGAGGAAAGCAAAGGCGCAGACGCAGAGGCCTCTCTGTTCCCTGCGCCAGGGTCCCTGCAGGTGACGTGATCTCTCTTCGGCTTTCCTGTCCCAGAGGTCAGTTGTAGAGGCAGAGATCCCATTACTTGGCCTTCCAATCTATAACTTCCTTGTGCCTTGTGTCTTACAGAAATTTAAAGAATATGTGAATGGCAGTAACCTCATCACCAAGCTGCAGGCCAAGCACGATTTGCTCAAGCAGACCCTGGGCGAAGGTAAGTGAGGGCCTCCCAGAGGCCCTCTGGGAGGAGCTGTGTTCCCCACTGCGTTTCGCTGTTACCCTCTGACGTGTTGAGCTGTTTAAGGTTGAGGCAGCGGGCACCTGGCAGAATGAATCTGGACTTCCCTACCAGGACTGGGCAGGCTGGGAAAATCACCTGGATACTGATGCCTTGAGGGGTCCAATCTGGCTATAGAAAATAGAGGGTGTGACTTGCTTTTTGATTAATAGAAAGAAAAATAAATAAATAAGGCAAAAAGAAAATAGAGGGCAACCACAAGTCTTGGTTTAGGTTGGCAGGGACGGTCCAAGGCAAAGTGATAGAGTGGCCCCCATCAGGTAGGGAGTCGGAATCCAGGGCCTCAGAGGCCAACACTGACATTTTTCAGCAGACACTATTTGCAAGGAATACTACTGGAGGGTCTTGTCAGGGTTCTAGGTCCAGAAAAGGAAAATCCATACATGTAGGTCAGGGTTTGGTCCTTGAGGGAGCTGGAGACTAGGTGAAAGCCACCCAATGACTTCCGGTGGTGGTTGGAATAAAATCCCAGCTGCTCTTATGACACGTGAGGCCTTACAACACTTGGCATCTGCCTGCTTCCCTGACCTCATCCGTCGTTCTCCTCTCCCTTACTGTGCTGCAGCCATGCCGAGCAAATTTCTGCCCTTCAGGACTCACCAAGCTTATTCCTGCCCCAGGGCCTTTGCGTCTGCATGGGTAACCACCACCCAAATCAGGGAATAGAGCATTTCTGTCACCCTCAAATATCCCTTGTACTCCTTTGCAGTCAGCCCCCTATGCTCAGACTGCTCTGTTTCTGTCACTGCAGATTAGTTCTGTGTGTTCTAGGTAGTAAGGGCTGGGGAGCTTTGGGGGCTGATGGAAATAAATGTTCCATATCCTGATTTGAGGAGTGATTACACATGGGGGTAGACATTGGTTAAAACTCATTGATTGGGGGATAAGAATGGGGAAGACTTAGTTGCAGTGAGCTTTTTCTTCATTCTTTCCCTCTAAATTTTACCCATACCAACCCTTCAGTATCAGGCCAGGGTGTAAGGGGGATGTGGAGGAGTATGGGTAGCAAAGAGGGAAGAAAAAAAGTGAGAATGGAGGAGAAAGGAAGAAAGTCCAAGAGTGGAGCTCAGGGTGTATGTGTGTGAGGGCAGCTTCTAAGACTAGCATTAAAGAGGAGGATTGGTGTTTATAGGCACAGGGCAGGGGGCTGTTCCTCATGAGCCAGGTAACAAAAGGGAGGACCATATGAGTAGGTGGCTACTTGCGTTTTTGAAATCAGATGCTGAGTTTAGAAAGCTAGATCTTTTTTAAAAAAAATAAATAACGTCCTGAGCCTGGTGCAGTGGCCTGCCCACACCTTCTTGGCACAGAAGCACAGTGGAGCTTTGATGACTAAAGAGGCCCTTGGCTTTGTCTGTCGGGTGCCCTTACCAGACAAAGGCAGCTTTTCCTTTCACTGCTCCCATTCTCCCGGGGCTGCTTTGTATTCCCAACTCAAATGATGATGATGATGATGATGACAGTCATCATCATCATCATCATCATCATCACCATATTTAGTTTTGGTTGGCGTAACTCCTGGTCCATTTGGTCCTCCAAGTTTATTTAGCCTTCAACTATGCCTTGCTCTAAGATGGCTTTACCAGTCCCTCTTCTGAGTTTTGAGCTGATTAGCAACAAAAAACTCCTGGAAAATGCAGTTTCGGAAGTAGAGGGACAGATAAGAAAAAGCCATCTGGAAGAATCTCTGTACTCCTGTGTTTCTGTGAGCTGGCCGTGGAAAGGCTCACTGTGCTTCCTTCAACAACTGTATGGTTCTTGATAGACTGGTCAGTTCTAGAGAAGTTTTTTTTTTGTCTGTTTTGTTTTTTAAAAAAGAAAACTTTCTATTTTAAAGCAGTTTTAGAGCTACAGAAAAGTTGGGAAGATAGTATGAAGTTTTCATATACTCTACATCTAGTTTGCCCTATTATTGACATTTTACATTAGTATGGTATATTTGTCAGCATTAATGAATACTGATTCATTATTATCAACTGAAGTTAATGAATTACTGAATGACTGGAAAAGGTGAAAGCTGAGTAAATTGAGACAAAATCTCTAGTCATTTTTATATAGCCACTATACGATAAAGATACATGTAGATTCTTAGGGCATTGAGTGAAAAGGGAGAATTTGCAACCAGGAGAATTTGCACTGACCTAACTGATAAATTGGAAATTGCCTACTGGGGGAAGGAAGGAGAGAAAACAAAAAATCAGCAGGCCAAAGAGAGCTCAGAATCTTAGCGAATTCATCCTTCTGAGTGTCAACTGGTGACTCACCTTTTCCTGAGCATTTTGGTTCTTCTATTCAGTAGAACTCTCTAAGAGTAGGGTAGGGTTACAGCTGCATCAGTGGCCTTTTTATGCCATGTGAGGGCTATTTTGTATTGGGAGGGGATGAACTGGAAATCTTGAAAGCAGGTGAGAAATATGGAGCCAACAGTATATTTTGGCTAGAAAGATACAAGGCTTCTTTTCTTTTAAATGAGTGAAGTATCATATCTAGTGCCTCAGCTTCTCTAAAGTTCAGTAGCTTTCCTTTATTTGTGGCCTTGCCTTCCATGGTTTCAGTTACTTGTGGTTAACTGTGGCCTGAAGATATTGTGTGTTCTGGGTAGTAAGAGCTGGGGAGCTTTGGAGGCTGATAGAAATAAATGTTCCATATTCTGATTTGAGTGGTGGTTATACATAGGGGTAGACATTTGTTAAAACTCCTTAATTGAGGGATAGGAGTGGGGAAGACATAGTTGCCGTGAGCCTTTTCTTCATCCTTCCCTCTAAATTTAGAATGGAAAATTCCTGAAATAAACAATTCATAAGTTTTGAATTTCTCACTGTCCTGAGTAGCACGATGAAATCTTATGCCGTCACACTCCATCTCCACAAGGACATGAATCCTCCCTTTGTCCAGCATATTCACCCTGGATCTGGTACGCACCTACTAGCCACTTAGTAGCTGTCTTGGTTATCAGATCGAAAAAACAGAAGGCGTGTAGGATTTGGGACTATCCACAGTTTGAGGCATCCGCTGGGTCTTGGAATGTATTTCTCACAGGTAAGCGGGGACTACTGTACTCTTTTGACAGGATGGCTCAAGGAAACTACAAGTTAGATGAAACCCCAAGGTCTTTTTGGTCAGCTTTACTTAGAAGCAAATTTGAGAACATGATTGACCCCAAACACACAAGTCAAAAAGCTTCCAGGTGCTCAGCAAATAGCATTCACTGTTACAAAGGATGTCACTGGCGCCTCTTGGGAGCAAAAGCACACATGCTGGCTGTCACTATGCCATTTTATTGGTCAGAGAATTCTCAGTTCATCATCATCGCTGAGTTATAGACTTATGACCTTTTTATTGCTCTGGGGTGTGGGTAGTTTGTAAGCTCTAGGGTTTACACTCAAGGTTATGGGTGGTTTTTCAATTTCTGAAAGCCCTTCAAGGATGAATGAATAGTACACTGCCTATAGAAGAGAAGAAGCATAACTTTTTCAGGCCAAGATGTAATCACCCATTATAGAGCAAAATGGCCACCAGGACCAGGCCATCTGACTTTCTAGAAAATGACTGAACCAGCAACTGTAAAATATATTTTAAAAATATATTTTATATTTCACATCCTGAAACCTTTGATTTCTACCTGCCCCCATCTGTCTATCCAAGGACACAGGCATTTTGTTTGGCCAGGCCCGGGGAGATAGTGGTATGCAGAAAGGTAAGGTCCCTGCCTTCATGGAAAAGAGAGACCTCAAATGGTAAACAAATACTAAGTAAAAAATGATAATTGAGCTGGGTGTGGTGGTAGTCCTGTAATCCCAGCTACTCAGGAGGCTGAGGCAGGAGAATTGTTTGAGGCAATGCAGTGGAGGCTGCAGTGAGCCAAGAGCATGTCGCTGCATTCCAGCCTGGGCAACAAAGGAAGTCTCTGTCT